TGATAAATAGTTATAGAATACAACAAAGGCAATTTTGAGAAGAGATTGGTATGCCACTGTGTCAGTCTCTATTTCCAAGGGGGCCGTACTATAGGGTAATTATCAGGGGGGAGGTAAAATGAAACTAGATTCCAAAATCTATTTATTGTATAAATATACAAGGTTGGTATTTCATGAAGAAACTTGAAACTTGAAAGTGATATGTATTAAGCAAAATTCCACGGTATTAAGTGTGATATTAAATATGAAATAAGTATTTAAAYTCAAAGCATACMTTTTGTTAGTATACTTGATTATTTTTTGGGGGGACATGCCCTTGTAAATTTCTAAGTATATCGTATAAATTATCATATTTATATAAATACATATATTACATTTAGTAATTTATTATTCTGTTTGTAGAACGGTGTTATGTTATATATTTATTATTCTTATATAACCCGATATATACTCCGATACTCGTATAACTTAAATAATACTAATAAGGWAACGTATAGATATAGGTACTGTAGAATAGCATGAATAGATTTTAAGTGGAAAATTAAGCTTAAAATAAATAGTTATAAATATTTTTAAAATTAAAATCTATTATATAAATGTGAAAATAAAAACCTTTGAGGCCTATGTTCTCGGAAACTAGTGAACCGATCGTTATTATAATTTTTTTAATTGAAGAGCTCATTGCGAAGAAGGTTTATGGAATTTGATCGATTCTCTAACTTAATAAACAAATGAGTTATCAATTATTATAAATAATGGCCTGTTACGTAGACTTTGGCAACATGGCAAACATATATGTATAAATATATCATTCATACATTATTTTTTTGTAATGTTTGTGATCTGATATATTTTTCAGTTTTTAACTTTGTTTGAGTTTTAGATGGTTGGATTCTGTTTCTGTAATTTGAATTCACAGATAATTTGATGACATTCGATTACGTACAAACTGTATATAAAAAAAAACTCTGATAAAAACTATATATATTATATTCTTATGAAGTCTGAAAATAATAATTATCATTTCTCTGCAATCAAATCATATTATTTTGATACATGGTGAACAGTAAAATAAGATATTAACTGAAGGTATACTATAATATTTAATTAAATTACTGTAATTTAAATATGAATTACTTATATTATTTACGAATATACAGTTTTTAAAAATTAATGTTTTTAGTTTGTTGCATCAATTACCCGCAATTGMACATGCGTTGTTTTATATAAATATTATTATTATTTATGTAGCACAGAAGTCAATTTAATTCTCTTCTTTGATATTTAACTATATACAAAAACAAATTCGTTCAATATTTTATGTTTTGTTCTATTTTCATTTAATAGGTACAGGTAATGTCGTGTAAATTATTAAGATAATATTATAAAATAAACATTGCTTAAATAAAAAAATGCCCAATTTGATAACATTGAAGTGTAATACCACAGAATAAATTACATTAATTTATACTGTGAATTAAATTTTTTTGATTAGCGTGTGAAAGGTGTACTCGWTTTTAAATAATTATTTATAAAAAAGTATATCATCCATTTTGAAACTGGAAATATGCTTTATAATGAATAATGACGATATTTGATCTGAATTTATCTATTATGTATATTACACAGTTTGATGTTAAGGTTTATTAATTACGCGAGCTAGATCGTGTTCATACTTGAATGGGCAAGTAAGTCAATTCCACCTAGACCGACTGTCGACTGGTCCTCTGTGTTGTATTTACGCCTTGTTTATATATATATATATTTAAAAAGGCGACAAGTTCTAAGTGCTTATAAGATTAATAATTTTTAATAGCAATTTTTTTTCATTTATTAAATTTTAATTGTTTCAACATAACCTTTGTTAAATTTTTTTTTTTAAATWTATATTATTCAATAAATTACATAATAACAAATTAAAATGTATAATAATACATTAATACACCGAAATAAATTGTTTTTTTTTTATTTGAAAATCTAATTTTCGTTAAATTAAAACTTTTAAAATAACTTWAAAAAAATTGTGCTTGTGTATATTAGATATTTTGAGAATTCTGTAAGGCTGTAAATATAATTGATCCTATTTAATCTAACAATAATATGTAAACTAGTTTTATATACCTACAATGTAATCATAACTTTTCTTTTAATGTTGTACTGTCTAAAAAAAAATATTTGTTAAAACTGTTAATGCTGTAACTCAATTTAAATTGTAGTCAATGACCATAGTGACCGAGTTTATAAGATCAATAAAAAAATAATTAATTCTGTACTAAAATCTTTGATTATTAACAAAATAACAAAATTTGTTTGAGGATAAATAGTTATTATACATTATATACATGTTTGAATATACAATGTCGTCAAAATGCGAACTTCAAACGCTCATAAAATATTTATGTGGCTTTACATTAAACATTGTTTTTAAATTCCAGTAAAAAAATTATTAGGAATCTCAWATCACATATTTACATATCCTATCTGCTGCCAAAAACTGCCCTCAAAGTTGAAGCGTTTTTATACTGCTCCGAAAAGTGACGACGCACAAAAAAAAAACATATTTTTGTAAAACTATTACATTTATCAGAGTGCTCAGACTCTAAAGTAAAAAACTTCAAAAGTTATAGACTGTTCAAATGATGAATTACTCAAAAGCAGTACAAATATTCTTAAAATTAAATCCTGTACAAAAAATGCAAATATAAAATATGATTGGCGAACATTCTAACCCAGGCACGTATTTGTGGGTAGGTGGTGGGGGCGAATAGGCGATCCTCCCCCTCAAGGCTCGTATTATTGTCTATCTTAGTAGATAGGTATATCGTATAAGATTATACGTAATATATTATGATATACTATTTTAATAMATTTGTTTGGAAACCAAACTATAGAAATTTCAAATTAAGTCTTAAGATTTAATTTTTTGTTTACTTTCTACTGTTATTATTTTATTAATTTGATACCAATTTAAATTTTTAGCGTAAATCAATTTTAAGCAATTAATAAAACGCTACACCTGCATGATGTGTTTATAGTGTTGTTTCTGTTTTCCAAACACGAAACATTTAAAATGACGCGGTAATAATTSTATTGAGATTAATATTAGAGAGAATATAAACTACTTGAGTGAAGTTTTTTTTTTTATATGTATTTATTTCAATTGTTTAAGAACTTATAAATTATTTTTAAATAAAAATATGAAAAAGAATCTCTTTGCTCGGCCACAATTTAGGTATATTCTCCTTTACAAATTCAATAGTATGTAAATTTGCTCGAATATTAACTATAAATAAACTTTAGTAGGAACTCAGTAAATATATTTGCGATAATACGCGTGAGTGAGGACAGAGACAACACACGTGGGCGCACCGTCCTCCTATCACCTAGGTGTTTATACTTCAACTTTTTATTATTAATTATTATAATAAATTTATCTAATACCTACATTTGATTTGTACCAGTTATACATTTATGTACTCCTACTTATAATAGTACTAAAGTTTATATATTATATAATTACTACTAATAATAACTATTTTATGCATAAAATATTACATTGGTAGTTGTGAACAAATTGTCGTTGAAAATATGTGTAGATTACATTTTATGTAGTTTCAGTGYTAATCAATTGGTAATAATATATAATTAGTCACGGGAAACACCATCAGGATTACTGATCAGTGATCAACTGATATATAATAAATCATATTTTTAGTTTCTTAACCAAATTAGATTAATCTTTATTTATCAATTTTAAATATGATTTGGAATAATTGTTTTGAAAAATTATATACGCTATAAAAGTATAAAAAATATTTTAAATGATTATTTAATACTTACTTCTAATTTACTTTAGGTCTGCGTCTGATTTGACTGAGTGTACTGAGGAGGATCTATCCACTATGCCTACTTCGGTTTCTAGATCATCATCACCTAGAGGCCGAGGTCTAGCTTATCTAGCGTCACGTCGAAGTAGTCGTGATTCTCAATTTTCCAATGAAGAATTAGCACCACTTAACTTTAATGCCACAGCTCGTGGGAGGCAAAGAAGAACCTCCAATTTCTTGGAACTTCCAGGTAATTAATTGTTATTTACTAAAAAATGATAAGGAAAGTCATAAAAACCAATGAAAACTATAGACAGGTTAATATGGCGTATATATATAGTTGGGTATCTGACAATCGTCTATGTATTCGCTCAATTCGGTGCAGGATGTATTGTATGACCATGTAWAGTTTATTGTTATTAATATGCATTCTAAAGCAACTAAAAATAAATTTTAAAATAAACCGACAAAAATATTTATTAAGATTACTAGCTAATGCTACTTTAAATATTTGTCGTCATAAAAAACTGTATCTATAATTAAGTAGGTATGTATATTTGAAAAATTCTTTTAACTTAATGATAGTTGCTTTATCCAGCTCAAGGGGTTGAAGTGGGAGATTAAAACATGACGAAAACTTAATAAATATTATTGTTTGCAATTTGCCTTTCGGTTAATATTTCATGTTAAACATGCAAATTGACAATTTGCATGCTAATGCGTGTATTTTAAAATGTATCATTAAATTATACCATATTAACCAAATGCATGTCAAAGCTAAAGCATGGAAGTAACGATTCATTAAGATTGAGATATTTGGTCAGCTTCTGAATAACGTTAATATTTCATAATTTCAAAGTTTGATCTTTCAAATTATGTAATAAAATTTCTGCATATCGGGTG